CACCACGTTTTCCGTTCATGCTGGCGTTTTGTACCTGTTTTCCCACAAACTGTATATGCAGCGTTTGTTAAAACGGTTTTGTATGTACTAGAATTTGTACTGGCTTGCGTACAGATAATATATTTTATATAATATATAAATAATATAATATTTATATATTTATATATAGATAATGATTATTTACAAATTGAAATAAAATTGTAGTACAATAAATTATCTTATATATAAAAACAAAAAAAATAAATTAAATAAATTTCCCGTATCAAGTATCCAATATATATACAGAAACATATACATATATTTATATATATATATATATATATATATATATATATATATATATATATATATATATACATACATGTACATACACTTATAATATATAATACCATAGCGATGGAATTATACGTAATGGCCTAACTTTGTATATATTATATATATATATATACAGAGTATAAATACGTAATGGCCTAACTCTCTCTCTCTCTCTCTCTCTCTCTCTCTCTATATATATATATATATATATATATATATATATATATGTATATATTTTTATATTTTTACAATATTCTATAAATTCTACCGAATGTTTGGCGTTAAAATGTTTGTAGTTCGTTTTTTCAATTTTTCTCACTAAAGTTTTTCAATAAAAATGTCACACCAACCAATCCAAAAAATAAAGTTAAACTCCGAATATATTACAACAATAAAAAGACGTCTCACCTAATACTGAAAAAAAACTGTAGTCCTAGAGATAACTCTGTGCTAAGGCGTAATCACGTAATATATGAATTTAATTGTGCACGTCAACATGACTCATATATCGGGATTACTACTACCTCATTGACTAGAGGGTTTACGATGCATAAACAGAGTGGTGCTATCAAATCTCATTTGGACGCAACACACTAAATTACTATTAGCCGTGAAATCTTCGACAGTAACACCAAAGTAATATACCAGAACAGCAACTACACGCATCTTAAAATTGCAGAAGTAGTCCTAATTGACATCAATAAACCAAAATTAAATATACAACAAAAAATGACAACCTCACTTCAAACCCGGCGCTTGACCAACAACGAAAACAAAGAAGTAATAAAAAAAAGCATTGTAAATAGTGACAAAGAAGAATATGATGCTATCGATGAAGAAAAGGAGACCAAAGAAGATGACCAGCCAATAAAGAAACCTGACACCTAATTTCCATCTAAATTCACTTTGACAAAGTCAATCTCCATCTAAATTCATTTTGACAAAGTCAATATTTCCCTATATAAACAGCAGAAAGCACTGATGATAATTCATTCGGAATCGAAATATGTCCTTATTTGCAGCATGAATTCGGAAAATAAGTTTATTTTGAATTTTAATAAACTAAACGTTCACCAAAAAACTTTAGTGAGAAAAATTGAAAAAACGAACTACAAACATATTAACGCCAAACATTCGGTAGAATTTATAGAATATTGTAAAAATTATGGTCTATTACCAACATATGTATATATTTATATATATATATATATATATTGATTGACGGTAATGCTAGAAAGATGCAAAAATATGCTATATATGTATATATGCTATATGATGCTATATATATATATATATATATGAGTTTCATTAAATTCTATCGCTATAGTATTCTTTATTAATTTTAGTTTTTTTTTAAATAATAAAAGTTACCCTTTTTTTTGCTTTTAATCTATTTATATTTTATTAGTTTATATTTAATATATTTTAATAATTTAATTTTTATTAAAATATGTTTTATTTAAATTAATAGCAATAAAATGAATGTTTAGTATAAAACACTTTGTTAATTTAATTAATAA